TGAAACGATAATTTTCAATTGGCGATAGCATTACTTTATACTAATAGTATAATCGCATTTTTTTCAATTGCCAAGGCGATCTGAGACTAATTTCAGAAGAAGAATGGCAACTCTTTATTTATATTAATCATAACTTCCACGTGAACACAATTATTACGACACTAAACGACAAATAAAAAATTAAAAAAAGGAATTAACATTAAAGGGTGATAATTTACAGCGGATTTTTTCATCGAAAATCAAGTTTCTCTTAATATTTTTGGCATAGTGAAGAAGGAGCTAGTGCAATGATTAATTTTCTTTTTTTCTTTCAATTAAGATGGCACGGTTAGTGAAGATTATCGACCCAAGCTGTGTCCAGAGACTCAATCAATATGCGAACAAAAGCCATTTCTTTTCTTGCATTTTCGAGTATAACGCGTGGGTCCTCTGAGGTACAACGTAATATATTTGGTGCCATTACCATTGCTAAATTATTGGCATCCATTTTAGTTCGCGCGACTACTTCTGATCTGGCAAATATCTGTGAACAAAAAAGGAAAAAAAAATTTATGTTATCTCTGCAATTGATAATATATGAAAGAGGGCCGAATGAAATTAATAAATCAATGATTTAGAGATGAAATCTGAGGCCCATTTCCATATCTGCGAACATATACTTTCTTTTTTTGCAGCTCCATAAACATCCCCATAAATAATTACCTGCAGGAAACGCATTAAGTGACACAATACGCGACGGTTGAGATCAGGAAGTCTGTCAATAATGGCAGCAGCACCGGCAGCGGAAGCCTCAGACTCATCGTGTCTCATCGAGACACATTCAGCATAGAATGAGTCCGGAATAAGTGGCTCGTAGAGCTCTCGCACCCAAAGTTTCAGCAGCGATGCAGGTGCGTGGGCATCCTGAGAAGCAGCTAGAGAGCCACCATCCTCAAATCTGTCCAGACATGACTTCAACGCGCTGACCTCATCAGCGTCCGCTGACACACGGAAAATTCCCTCCGTGAGAGTGCCTCCTCGCACCAAGACTTGACGAGTCAACGTTGTCTGCACCCAAGGGAGATCTCGTTGGGGAAAACGATCACGTTGGAGTGCCATTACTTCTGATAGGGTTGCACCAAACATCGATGCGCGGAATATTTGGAGCTAAAACATACAAAGGCCATGTGCGAATAATTATAATATTATTTATAATGATTATAACATTATTAATGAATACTATTGTTGACGAGTTAATCATAAATCGCATCCGCCAATAAGTTTTTACTGCATCCCGTGCGGAAAGTCTCCAATAACTCACGCCACGCGTTGTTATTTTCAGATTTTTAATGTTACATGATAAAATATCGTTTTCCTCACACGGAGAGAAATATTCAATAAAAATTACGTATCTTTTCCGTAATTCTGGAGCGAAATATGGCCGTTAGAAATTTTACAGAAGTGTCACGTAATTTTTATCTAAACGCACGGAACATTTCTTCGGCGTTCCGTAATTTTTATCACTTCAATTTTTCGAATCGACTCCGTAATCGGTAAGGAAATTGAAAGTTCCGTAATTTTTACTAATTATTTCTCTCCGTGCACGTGCATTTTTGTGGT